TCTATAGTCTAGTCTATAGTCTAGTCTATAGTCTAGTCTATAGTCTAGTCTATAGTCTAGTCTATAGTCTAGTCTATAGTCTAGTCTATAGTCTAGTCTATAGTCTAGTCTATAGTCTAGTCTATAGTCTAGTCTATAGTCTAGTCTATAGTCTAGTCTATAGTCTAGTCTATAGTCTAGTCTATAGTCTAGTCTATAGTCTAGTCTATAGTCTAGTCTATAGTCTAGTCTATAGTCTAGTCTATAGTCTAGTCTATAGTCTAGTCTATAGTCTAGTCTATAGTCTAGTCTATAGTCTAGTCTATAGTCTAGTCTATAGTCTAGTCTATAGTCTAGTCTATAGTCTAGTCTATAGTCTAGTCTATAGTCTAGTCTATAGTCTAGTCTATAGTCTAGTCTATAGTCTAGTCTATAGTCTAGTCTATAGTCTAGTCTATAGTCTAGTCTATAGTCTAGTCATAGTCTAGTCTATAGTCTAGTCTATAGTCTAGTCTATAGTCTAGTCTATAGTCTAGTCTATAGTCTAGTCTATAGTCTAGTCTATAGTCTAGTCTATAGTCTAGTCTATAGTCTAGTCTAGTCTATAGTCTAGTCTATAGTCTAGTCTATAGTCTAGTCTATAGTATAGTCTAGTCTATACTCTAGTCTATAGTATAGTCTAGACTATACTCTAGTCTATAGTAGTCTAGTCTATACTCTAGTCTATAGTATAGTCTAGTCTATACTCTAGTCTATAGTATAGTCTATAGTCTAGTCTATAGTCTAGTCTATAGTCTAGTCTATAGTCTAGTCTATAGTCTAGTCAATACTCTAGTCTATAGTCTAGTCTATAGTCTAGTCTATAGTCTAGTCTATAGTCTAGTTTATAGTCTAGTCTATAGTCTAGTCTATAGTCTAGTCTGTAGTCTAGTCTATAGTATAGTCTAGTCTATAGTCTAGTCTATAGTCTAGTCTATAGTCTAGTCTATAGTCTAGTCTATAGTCTAGTCTATAGTCTAGTCTATAGTCTAGTCTATAGTCTAGTCTATAGTCTAGTCTATAGTCTAGTCTATAGTCTAGTCTATAGTCTAGTCTATAGTCTAGTCTATAGTCTAGTCTATAGTCTAGTCTATAGTCTAGTCTATAGTCTAGTCTATAGTCTAGTCTATAGTCTAGTCTATAGTCTAGTCCTATAGTCTAGTCTATAGTCTAGTCTATAGTCTATAGTCTATAGTCTAGTCTATAGTCTAGTCTATAGTCTAGTCTATAGTCTAGTCTAGTCTAGTCTAGTCTATAGTCTAGTCTATAGTCTAGTCTATAGTCTAGTCTATAGTCTAGTCTATAGTCTAGTCTATAGTCTAGTCTATAGTCTAGTCTATAGTCTAGTCTATAGTCTAGTCTATAGTCTAGTCTATAGTCTAGTCTATAGTCTAGTCTATAGTCTAGTCTATAGTCTAGTCTATAGTCTAGTCTATAGTCTAGTCTATAGTCTAGTCTATAGTCTAGTCTATAGTCTAGTCTATAGTCTAGTCTATAGTCTAGTCTATAGTCTAGTCTATAGTCTAGTCTATAGTCTAGTCTATAGTCTAGTCTATAGTCTAGTCTATAGTCTAGTCTATAGTCTAGTCTATAGTCTAGTCTATAGTCTAGTCTATAGTCTAGTCTATAGTCTAGTCTATAGTCTAGTCTATAGTCTAGTCTAAAGTCTAGTCTAAAGTCTAGTCTATAGTATAGTCTAGTCTATAGTCTAGTCTATAGTCTAGTCTATAGTCTAGTCTATAGTCTATAGTCTAGTCTATAGTCTAGTCTATAGTCTAGTCTATAGTCTAGTCTATAGTCTAGTCTATAGTCTAGTCTATAGTCTAGTCTATAGTCTAGTCTTTTGTCTAGTCTTTGGTCTAGTCTATAGTCTATTCTTTTGTCTAGTCTATAGTCTAGTCTATAGTCTAGTCTACAGTCTAGTCTATAGTTTAGTCTAGTATAATTTGTCTAGTCTATATTCTAGTCTGTAGTGTTGTCTATAGTGTAGTCTTTAGTGTAGTCGATAGTGTATCTACCATTTTTTTGCTGTAGCGCCTTATTACTTATTTGATATTTAAGAAGCAAAAAGGAAAAAACTTAAGTACAATGCAAAAAGCTAAATCAATAAGTAACTACGAGTACATACTTATACAATTAAATGTGTATACAATAAATAATTAACACTTAATATAATAATACATCAATAAAATTGTTTTTTTGATCAACTATTTATTTTATTAAACAAATATACACGAGACAATTGTAAGTGGCTAACGTATGTACGAAAATAAGTGAAAGATATAAAATTGTGACGGATCTAGCTCACTAATTAACTAACTAACCGATTTAGGAACTTACTAACAAAGTAATATACTAACAGAGTCGCTTAGTTTGTAATAGACTATAGGACGAGGTACTATAATATAGACCAGTCTTTCCAGCAATAGTTCAGTCAATAGGCTAGTCTGTAGTGCTGTTTATTATAGTCGTACTTACATACATATTTCTCACTCGTTATGTTTTATTCAAATTCTGTTGTCTAGTGTAAAAACATTATTTGGACCACAAGCTCATTATTCTGTACATGAAAGGGAAACTAATCATTTTTATCATATTTTGCACATTTTTAATAATTTCTCATTTGTATATCGAAATTTTTTGTAAATAAACCGACACTGTATTTTAATTTATATGGATTAAATTGTTAATGAAAGCAAACCGAATTACTCGCTATCTTCTGGCAAATTGTGGATAATTTGGGTCAAAGTGCTTGAAGCGCAAAAAATGAAAACGATAAAAGTCTAATTATTTATTATTGTATTTGTTTAATGTACAGCAAATATTTATATTTACTCTATTACTTACACATAAGGGCGAGATTTGAAAATATCTAAAAAATAATGGTTCTGATTCATACCAAAAAGTTAGTTAGTTAGTTAGTTAGTTAGATAGTTAGTTAGTTAGTTAGTAGTTAGTTAGTTAGTTAGTTAGTTAGTTAGTTAGTTAGTTAGTAGTTAGTTAGTTTAGTTAGTTAGTTAGTTAGTAGTTAGTTAGTTAGTTAGTTAGTTAGTAGTTAGTTAGTAGTTAGTTAGTTAGTTAGTTAGTTAGTTAGTTAGTTAGTTAGTTAGTTAGTTAGTTAGTAGTTAGTTAGTTAGTTAGTTAGTAGTTAGTTAGTTAGTTAGTTAGTTAGTAGTTAGTTAGTAGTTAGTTAGTTAGTTAGTTAGGAAGTAAGTTAGTTAGTTAGTTAGTTAGTTAGTTAGTAAGTAAGTAAGTTAGTTAGTTAGTTAGTTAGTTAGTTAGTTAGTTAGTTAGTTAGTTAGTTAGTAGTTAGTTAGTAGTAGTTAGTAGTTAGTTAGTAGTTAGTTAGTTAGTTAGTTAGTTAGTTAGTTAGTTAGTTAGTTAGTTAGTAGTAGTTAGTTAGTTAGTAGTTAGTTAGTAGTTAGTTAGTTAGTTAGTTAGTTAGGAGTTAGTTAGTTAGTTAGTTAGTTAGTTAGTTAGTTAGTTAGTTAGTTAGTTAGTTAGTTAGTTAGTTAGTTAGTTAGTTAGTTAGTTAGTTAGTTAGTTAGTTAGTTAGTAGTTAGTTAGTTAGTTAGTTAGTTAGTAGTTAGTTAGTTAGTTAGTTAGTTAGTTAGTTAGTTAGTTAGTAGTTAGTTAGTTAGTTAGTTAGTTAGTTAGTTAGTTAGTTAGTTAGTTAGTTAGTTAGTAGTTAGTTAGTAGTTAGTTAGTTAGTTAGTTAGTTAGTTAGTTAGTTAGTTAGTAGTTAGTTAGTTAGTTAGTTAGTTAGTTAGTTAGTTAGTTAGTTAGTTAGTTAGTTAGTTAGTTAGTTAGTTAGTTAGTTAGTTAGTTAGTTAGTTAGTTAGTTAGTTAGTTAGTTAGTTAGTTAGTTAGTTAGTTAGTTAGTTAGTTAGTTAGTTAGTTAGTTAGTTAGTTAGTTAGTTAGTTAGTTAGTTAGTTAGTTAGTAGTTAGTTAGTTAGTAGTTAGTTAGTTAGTTAGTTAGTTAGTTAGTTAGTTAGTTAGTTAGTTAGTTAGTTAGTTAGTTAGTTAGTTAGTTAGTTAGTTAGTTAGTTAGTTAGTTAGTTAGTTAGTAGTTAGTTAGTTAGTTAGTTAGTTAGTTAGTTAGTTAGTTAGTTAGTTAGTTAGTTAGTTAGTTAGTTAGTTAGTTAGTTAGTTAGTTAGTTAGTTAGTTAGTTAGTTAGTTAGTTAGTTAGTTAGTTAGTTAGTTAGTTAGTTAGTTAGTTAGTTAGTTAGTTAGTTAGTTAGTTAGTTAGTAGTTAGTTAGTTAGTTAGTTAGTTAGTTAGTTAGTTAGTTAGTTAGTTAGTTAGTTAGTTAGTTAGTTAGTTAGTTAGTTAGTTAGTTAGTTAGTTAGTTAGTAGTTAGTTAGTTAGTTAGTAGTTAGTTAGTTAGTTAGTTAGTTAGTTAGTTAGTTAGTAGTTAGTTAGTTAGTTAGTTAGTTAGTTAGTTAGTTAGTTAGTTAGTTAGTTAGTTAGTTAGTTAGTTAGTTAGTTAGTTAGTTAGTTAGTTAGTTAGTTAGTTAGTTAGTTAGTTAGTTAGTTAGTTAGTTAGTTAGTTAGTTAGTTAGTTAGTTAGTTAGTTAGTTAGTTAGTAGTTAGTTAGTTAGTTAGTTAGTTAGTAGTTAGTTAGTTAGTTAGTTAGTTAGTTAGTTAGTTAGTTAGTTAGTTAGTTAGTTAGTTAGTTAGTTAGTTAGTTAGTTAGTTAGTTAGTTAGTTAGTTAGTAGTTAGTAGTTAGTTAGTTAGTTAGTTAGTTAGTAGTTAGTTAGTTAGTTAGTTAGTTAGTAGTTAGTTAGTTAGTTAGTTAGTTAGTTAGTTAGTTAGTAGTTAGTTAGTAGTTAGTTAGTTAGTCCTACAATTTTTCAAAATTCTATCGATGGCAATCATATACTTGACTGCAGTGCTGCCATATTACATCGAACACAGCGATTTTATAAATTCACCTTCCCTTAAACTTTTCACCACACTTATTTAACAAGATTGCATTCGCCATTTACAATAACAAAAACAAAGTGCAATTTTCATCGCAAAGAAAAACTAGCAAGAGTTTTTCCAGTTAATAGAAAAGAATTAAAAATACTACAAATAAATAAATTAAAGCAAATAATAACAAACTTACATGTTAAAAAGTGTTTATACAAAACAAAAAATGTTAAATAAGCTGTCCGGATTGTGTTTTCAATGAAATAAACAGAATAGAAAAATAATTGGCGCAAATAACTGGGGCAGGTCACCCCTATTTTCTTTTCTAAGGTATTTTTGCAATAATTTAAAACCAAAACAAACTTCTAATAAAAATGGCTTTGACGGTGGTTAAATATCGTAAAACCGCTTCTGGCGAAACTACAGCAGCAACTCCTGCGATATTAATAAAAAATAAATTGCCGTCAGCATCTTCAGGAACACAAATTAAACAAGAGTCAACGGAGGATAATGCAAAGGTAATTTTAATTTTTTCCTTTAGCTGTTTTTTTCTGAGGAGGGTTAGTCTACTTTCTTGTTGTTTTCTTTGTTTTTGTCTAAAAATAGTTTTATTCACCACATTTATTTTACTATGGTGAGTTTATGTGGGTTGTCAAAGATATCGTAGGTGTAAACCTTTGATTACAATTGAAACTACTGACGACAAGTGTAGCAAAAAATCCTCATGTTCAGACTTTAGATTGAATTTTTTTCTATAGGCTAGACTATAGATAGTCTTGACAATAGACCAGACTAGACCATATACTATTCTATACACCAGACTAGACTAAATACCAGACTATACTCTACACTACTCTATGGACTAGACTATAGACTAGATTATATCTTTATTTAAAAAAATGTATTCCAAAAAATAACTCTGTATCTACCTGCCTAAAATACAACACTGTTAGTATTTACATTTTTCCACTTATGGTGAAATTTTCATTAATATACTCAACACACTTGTTATAGTTTTGTTTATCCCGTAAACAACGCATAAGTGCAAAAGAGACAACTATAAAAGATACACAAACAGTATAATTTTTTATCACGCGTTGCAGGCTGGCTGGACAATTTTATTTTTTTTCTTTCATTTTTGGAATTAATAAATTAAGAAATTTGTTTAAATTAATAAAAAATAAGGAAATTTCTTGAACCTTATTCAAAGGAATATGTTGAAATCTTGTGAAAACACAAACTAACAAAAACAGGTGTGTAAAACGAAAATGAAAATATTTTTTGGTGGGAAATTTGTCTTTTGATAAAAAGCTACTAATGAAAAAAAAAAATTGTTTACGTACAGTTCTTTTTAATTAATTTAAATGATAATTTTACAGAAACCCATAATAAAAATTGAAGGTTCTACTGGCTTGGTTATCAATAAAATACCTGCTATTATAAAGCCAGCCACTATGAAACGTGTTGGTGTGGCCACGGGAGGTGAGTGCTAGACTGATTTTATAGAAATTACTAAAAGTGATTAACATTTTATAATATTTTCTCTCTTTAACAGAACCCGCCTTTAAATCTACAAAATATTCTTTACAAACTATAGCCTCCACCGGCACTCCATTGACCAGTTTTCAATGGCAACAGACTATAGGCAGTGCAAATGCCGCCAATGCTAAGAAACAACAACAACAGCAACTAGGAGCAGCCATTAGCTCTCTACCACCCAATACCATTATAAAAGCTACTTCAGCACCAAATAATAATCAAATCCTACACACCGCTAATGGCACTTCCTCCCTATTGTCCAATTCTCTTAATACAACCGCCTCCACTATGCAAGTAAGACCACGTCCCACTATTTTCATTAAACGTGAAGTACCTAAACGCACCATACGTACGGTAACCCTCGAGCTTATCGAAAAGAATCCCCATATACATTTGGGTCTACATAACACCCGTTTACCACTGCTTAAAAATGTCATTTGTACCCGGGCCAATATTACCCTGATAGATTGTTATTTAACTCTAAAGAAATTAAAACAGAATGAAGATTTCTCTTTGCTGGCGGAATATTTTGAATTGACTGAAGGTGAAGTTCAGCAAATATTTGCCAAGACAGTGGTTAAATTAGCTCGTTATTTGCGTTTTCTGATACGTTGGCCTGATAGTAAGAAATACTATGATCGACATAAAAATTTACCTTTTGCCTTTAGGCAAAATCTTTCTCATGTCCAGTCGTTGATTGAGTGTGTGGAAACAGATATGCCAACTAGTCCACTGCAGATAGATTGTACAAATTATAAGTTTATCTTGAGCATTAATACAAATGGTAAGTAAGAGTAGAGTATTAAGATTTTGTATATTATTAGCTAAGTTCTATCTAGTACAGTTATATGTAAATTATAGTTCAGTTCTAGTTCAGTTCTAGTTCAGTTTTAGTTCAGTTCTAGTTCAGTTCTAGTTCAGTTCTAGTTCAGTTCTAGTTCAGTTCTAGTTCAGTTCTAGTTCAGTTCTAGTTCAGTTCTAGTTCAGTTCTAGTTCAGTTCTAGTTCAGTTCTAGTTCAGTTCTAGTTCAGTTCTAGTTCAGTTCTAGTTCAGTTCTAGTTCAGTTCTAGTTGCGTTCTAGTTCAGTTCTAGTTCAGTTCTAGTTCAGTTCTAGTTCAGTTCTAGTTCAGTTCTAGTTCAGTTCTAGTTCAGTTCTAGTTCAGTTCTAGTTCAGTTAGTTCTAGTTCAGTCTAGTTCAGTTCTGGTTCTAGTTCAGTTCTGGTTTAGTTCTAGTTCAGTTCAGTTCTGGTTCAGTTCTGGTTTAGTTCTAGTACAGTGTTAGTTCCTTTCTAGTTCCGTTCTATTATATTTCTATTTTACAATTTTTTTTCACCCTTTTCCACAGGCATAATTTCCTATATATCTGAAGCTTTCGTTGGTCACCACGACGATTTAACCATTTTTAAAGTGGCAAATTTTAAAGATGTCATACCCAAATATTTGTCACTAGTAGCTGATCCCGGTAAAGCTATTCGTCGCAAACGTAAACCTAAATCAACGAAAAAAAGCCAACAAACTGATTTTCACACCAACATCAATAATGGTGAAACCGACTCAACAACAGATTCAGCCGATGAATCGGCCGATGATCTCGTACAGAGTGATGATACAGAAGAGGGTCGCTTAAGTAAATACACCACATCACGTGTGGCCGGTGAGCTGGCCTCCCATCAAAGTTTATCCGTGGTCAATAGTGAATTGACATCGAGGCGTGTGAAAAACTTTACCATACCCACAATGCGTGTACGTGATAACGTATGTCGTTTGCAAATACGTCACATGATCAATTGTCTGCATGAGTTTAAGATTTTACAGCCGTTGGCCATACAGGAGCCATTGTTATATCAGTATCTCAATGAGATACTAATTGTATGTGCTGCCTTAATTAATTTACAAAGATAGAGCGTTAACAAATGTCAACCAAAAACACAGGTAATTGTAGTAATTTGTTTATAAAATAATTGGGTTTTTGTTTTTACTTAAAAAGAACTTATTTAAACACTCATTTTACTCGGTTTATTTGCGCTTTAAAAACTTTCTTCTATTTCCTTTAATTGGACCATGATAATTTTTTTATTTTAGTGTCTTTTTTTCTTTGTTTTTTTTTTTCTTTGATCCACAATTCTCAATTTTGTATTATAAATTTTTACGGCTTTAATTTGATCATACATACATTATGTAAAATATATCATTTAGCTGTTTACTTAAGTTGGAATTTTCTGTGAAAACATAGTTTATTCTGAATTTAGCAATAAAACAACAATAATTGTAATATAATTTTAAAAAGCAAAAAGTGTAAGAGTGAGTGTGTGTAAGTGTAAAAAACATAATAACAAATTCTTCAATTAAACAGTCAATCTCTTATTGTTCTCAACAAAAAATATTGTAGGAAAATATTTAAACATAAATAACATAAAGCAAATACTTCAGTAACTAGTAGGAGAAGACGCTGTAAAGCTCTCCCATAAAACGGAAACATAACGGATGGGATTTTACGACTTTAACAAAACGTTATATATTTTGAAAACTGGATACGATTACTAGTATCGAATAAAAAGACTTGATATAACTTTACAGACACTTTTCCCCATTCATTTTGCAATAAGGATTAATTACGTTGACTTGGATTGTAAATCTAAACTCTTTAATTTGTTCTCCATATAAAAATGTAAATAAGTATTTTTTTCCTCACACTTTGTCACTTCTAAACTGTGGTAAAAATATATACTAAAAAACATTTTAAAACAAATTATAAATTTTATTTTCTCTTCATAAAATCAAAATCATATAACGAGAGGTGTTAAATCCGTGAAATGTTTTTGTCACCAAAATAAACCACAGCGGGGTAGAGAGTACCTATTTAATTTTATACCAGCTATACAGCCACTACTTTTCCATCCAACGACAACAACAACAATAAAAAAGTAATACAACGATAACAACAAAATAATAAAATTAAAAGTTGCTCTTAGTCATCAACTCATTGGAGCGGAAACGGAAGTGTATTGTGGTGTTTTTGTTTTAATTTTGTATAGGAAAAAGACCAAAAAATATGTCAACGTTTTGACGTTTTAAACTTTTTGTTAGTTTGTTGGGAATTTGACTGCTGTTTTTATGCTATTTCTATGTACATATATTCAAGGAGTTGGATAAGAGGCTGTTAGCTGATGGTGTTGTGACAATGAAATAAGTTTTATTTAAAATTAATTTGAGAGATTACTGTTGTAGGAAAATAAGTTGTAAGACTAGATAATAAGATATTTATAAGAACTGTCCCTGACGCTGTTTGCGACTAGTTTATTATGTACTTGATAGCCAATCAGTTCAAGTTTAGTTAAAGTTCTTATCTATTTCCTATCTAATTTAGTTCTAGTTTAGTTCTAGTTTAGTTCTAATTTAGTTCTAGTTTAGTTCTAGTTCAGTTCTAGTTCAGTTCTAGTTCAGTTCTAGTTCAAATCTAGTTCAGTTCTAGTTCAGTTCTAGTTCAGTTCTAGTTCAGTTCTAGTTCAGTTCTAGTTCTAGTTCAGTTATAGTTCAGTTCTAGTTCAGTTCAGTTCTAGTTCAGTTCTAGTTCAGTTCTAGTTCAGTTCTAGTTCAGTTCTAGTTCAGTTCTAGTTCAGTTCTAGTTCAGTTCTAGTTCAGTTCAGTTCAGTTCTAGTTCAGTTCTAGTTCAGTTCAGTTCAGTTCTAGTTCAGTTCTAGTTCTAGTTCAGTTCAGTTCAGTTCAGTTCTAGTTCTAGTTCTAGTTCAGTTCTAGTTCTAGTTCTAGTTCAGTTCTAGTTCTAGTTCTAGTTCAGTTCTAGTTCATTTCTAGTTCAGTTCTAGTTCAGTTCTAGTTCAGTTCTAGTTCAGTTCTAGTTCTAGTTCAGTTCTAGTTCAGTTCTAGTTCAGTTCAGTTCTAGTTCAGTTCTAGTTCAGTTCTAGTTCAGTTCTAGTTCAGTTCTAGTTCAGTTCTAGTTCAGTTCTAGTTCAGTTCTAGTTCAGTTCTAGTTCAGTTCTAGTTCAGTTCTAGTTCAGTTCTAGTTCAGTTCAGTTCTAGTTCAGTTCTAGTTCAGTTCTAGTTCAGTTCAGTTCAGTTCAGTTCAGTTCAGTTCAGTTCAGTTCAGTTCAGTTCAGTTCAGTTCAGTTCAGTTCAGTTCAGTTCAGTTCAGTTCAGTTCTAGTTCTAGTTCTAGTTCAGTTCTAGTTCTAGTTCTAGTTCAGTTCTAGTTCAGTTCTAGTTCAGTTCTAGTTCAGTTCTAGTTCAGTTCTAGTTCAGTTCTAGTTCAGTTCTAGTTCAGTTCTAGTTCAGTTCTAGTTCTGTTCTAGTTCAGTTCTAGTTCAGTTCTAGTTCAGTTCTAGTTCATTTCTAGTTCATTTCTAGTTCAGTTCTAGTTCAGTTCTAGTTCAGTTCTAGTTCAGTTCTAGTTCAGTTCTAGTTCAGTTCTAGTTCAGTTCTAGTTCAGTTCTAGTTCAGTTCTAGTTCTAGTTCTAGTTCAGTTCTAGTTCAGTTCTAGTTCAGTTCTAGTTCAGTTCTAGTTCAGTTCTAGTTCAGTTCTAGTTCAGTTCTAGTTCAGTTCTAGTTCAGTTCTAGTTCAGTTCTAGTTCAGTTCTAGTTCAGTTCTAGTTCAGTTCTAGTTCAGTTCTAGTTCAGTTCTAGTTCAGTTCTAGTTCAGTTCTAGTTCAGTTCTAGTTCAGATCTAGTTCAATTCTAGTTCAGTTCTAGTTCAGTTCTAGTTCAGTTCTAGTTCAGTTCTAGTTCAGTTCTAGTTCAGTTCTAGTTCAGTTCTAGTTCAGTTCTAGTTCAGTTCTAGTTCAGTTCTAGTTCAGTTCTAGTTCAGTTCTAGTTCAGTTCTAGTTCAATTCTAGTTCAGTTCTAGTTCTAGTTCAGTTCTAGTTCAGTTCTAGTTCAGTTCTAGTTCAGTTCTAGTTCAGTTCTAGTTCAGTTCTAGTTCAGTTCTAGTTCAGTTCTAGTTCAGTTCTAGTTCAGTTCTAGTTCAGTTCTAGTTCAGTTCTAGTTCAGTTCTAGTTCAGTTCTAGTTCAGTTCTAGTTCAGTTCTAGTTCAGTTCTAGTTCAGTTCTAGTTCAGTTCTAGTTCAGTTCTAGTTCAGTTCTAGTTCAGTTCTAGTTCAGTTCTAGTTCAGTTCTAGTTCAGTTCTAGTTCAGTTCTAGTTCAGTTCTAGTTCAGTTCTAGTTCAGTTCTAGTTCAGTTCTAGTTTCAGCTTTAGTTCAGTTTTAGTTCAGTTCTAGTTCAGTTCTAGTTCAGCTCTAGTTCAGCTCTAGTTCAGTTCTAGTTCAGTTTTAGTTCTAGTTCAGTTTTAGTTCTAGTTCAGTTCTAGTTCAGTTCTAGTTCAGTTCTAGTTCAGTTCTAGTTCAGTTCTAGTTCAGTTCTAGTTCAGTTCTAGTTCAGTTCTAGTTCAGTTCTAGTTCAGTTCTAGTTCAGTTCTAGTTCAGTTCTAGTTCAGTTCTAGTTCAGTTCTAGTTCAGTTCTAGTTCAGTTCTAGTTCAGATCTAGTTCAATTCTAGTTCAGTTCTAGTTCAGTTCTAGTTCAGTTCTAGTTCAGTTCTAGTTCAGTTCTAGTTCAGTTCTAGTTCAGTTCTAGTTCAGTTCTAGTTCAGTTCTAGTTCAGTTCTAGTTCAGTTCTAGTTCAGTTTTAGTTTAGTTCTAGTTCAGTTCTAGTTCAGTTCGTAATATATTTACTACAATTAGTAGTGATCTTGTCGTGGATTGAAGTCACTGACGCAATGGTTGTTTAGAAACCATAAAGACAAATGATCCTAAATTACTTTTTTCAAATTGAAGAAGAAATTTTAACGTTTTATAAAGTTATTATTAAATTTCATGTTCTAAAAATTCCTCTTAAGTAAAACCTTATTAAATTGTGCCACATAATACAAACTTAAACACCATATTTTTTGGTGTCCGCCTTTCACCATCCGTAACTTTTACTTGTTCTTAATGTCATTCCATATAGAAAAAATTGAAGAAGTAACAGCAAAAAATAATAAACATCTAGTAAAAGTGTCATAAAAAGGTTAAACCTTGTTCTTCTTCGGTTTAATAACTTCAGTGATTGGAAAATAATTTTATATTTTTTCAATTTACCCAACAACCTCCTTCGCCTCCTGCATTACGGCCATCTATGTATGTACAAACACACTTCCTCTTGATGTTTTAATTTTTGCATTGAAAAAAGGACCATCGACCAGTGTAACAATATTATTATTTTTCTTTTTTGCCATAAACAAACTTTCTAAAAATACCATCATCCTGTCTGTTGATCCTTTTTACTGCTGATGTTTTTGCTGTTGTTGTTTTTGGTATTTTACACACAGGTATTTGCATGGACTGCTGCTGCCACTATTACTTCCACTTTTACAACTTCGACTACTAGTAAAGCTGTTGTTGATGTTTCTGCTGCAGAGTTTTAAACGTATTTTCCTATAAAATTAGTTGTTGTTGCTTGTTGTTGGAGAGAAACTTTTTAATAATTACCGTAATTATTCTCTTATAATGTGTCCTTGTTGTTGGTGTTGTAGCTTTTATTTTTGTTTTTGTCTTTTTATCTGCTATTGTTTGCAACTGAATGGAAAAGTGGAAGTTTGTGTGTGTGTTTTTTTTTTTTGAAGGAGTTTGGGGATGTGTAATGAAACTGGTCAAACTGGACGTACACACGAACAATGAACATCTTTGTTTTCATGTTTATTTTTAACAATCCCGTTATAATAATTTTTGACCCCTTTCAGTGTTGTTGTTAAAATTGGTTTTGTTTGCTGGAAGGATATTAAAGGAATACAAAGGTACTTAGTTGTTTAAAAAGTACTTTGGACCATAGTCTATAGTGTGGACTATAGTCTAGTCTTTAGCAAAGACTATTGTCTAGTCTATAGTCCAGACTATAGTCTAGTCTGTAGTTCAGACTTTAGTCTAGTCTATAGTCCAGGCTATAGTCTAGTCTGTAGTTCAGACTTAAGTCTAGTCTATAGTCCAGGCTATAGTCTAGTCTATAGTCCAGGCTATAGTCTAGTGTATAGTCCAGACTACAGTCTAGTCTATAGTACAGACTATAGTCTAGATTATAGTCTTGTCTATAGTTCAGACTATAGTCTATTCTATAGTTCAGACCATAGTCTAGTCTACAGTTCAGACTATAGTCTAGTCTATACTCCAGACTATAGTCTAGTCTATAGTCCGGCCTATAGTCTAGTCTATAGTCCGCCCTATAGTCTAGTCTATAGTCCGGCCTATAGTCTGGTCTATAGTCCAGGCTATAGTCCAGACTGTAGTCTAGTCTATAGT